ACCATTGCATTTGCTCTCGTCAAGCTGGTCAAAAAGAACATATAAAGATCGTCCAATTTGGAATCATGATGGAGAAATTACGACTTTCGGAATGTTTTTCTCTTAACCAGCAAAAACTGGTCTGGCGCGTGGGACGGCGGGACCCACGGGAGCAAGATGAAGCTGGATGAAGCTCGATTTTTTTTTGGCTCCTCCGTTGCATTTCAGCTCTAGTCACATGGTTTTGCGTGACTTTAGGTACAAAGCTGTTTTCAACGTGTTCGGCTGCACTCTTTTGCAGCACCAACTGTTGTTTGTACAGTGATAGCTGTGAGAGTAGGCTGCAGCAGCCACCGCAACAGCTGCTGCAGATAAGTGCTACCAAACTAGCTATTTGTGTCATGCTGTTTGGTTGGTTGCACGGTGAAGCGGCTTCTAAAGCTGTAGGAGAATCGCTACTAAACGTAGCCTAAATCAAATACCTATGGAGACGTTTTCTTGGATGTACAGTATGTAATAATAGAATTTGGCATGCCGACAGTTGTGCAGATTTTTTTTACCTATGGCGACGTTTCCTTGGGAAGGAAGTTGGCAATGCTGATACTTGTACTGTTTTTTTTTGGTTTAGTTGTAATATATATAAACTGGATTGATTCTTTTTTTAAAATAAACTATTCGATTTTCCTTTTTGTTAATGCCGAACTCTTTGGATGTGAGTTATCGTGTGACGAGACAGTTCTGCAATGTGCTTGCTAATGACGCGTAATCCTTTCTTTCGGCAATCATCATGAACACACAGGACTTGTTAAGAAAAACATGCTACATCTAAATCAAAAGAGACTATTCATGCAGAAAACTGGATCTGTAGCTCAAAACGACATTACAAGACATCTAAAAAATATATCGCCACATACAACTTCCACAAGAAGAGATACTTTTACCGTCGCTTTTGCTACACCTGCTCCATCCATTCTCTAGCCTTCAAAAAGCAAATCTTGTCACGATGTTTATATACAGGAAGAGGAGCGGGAAGTGGTTGATACACGACCACTCTCACAGTTCTGAGCAAAATTTGTCGTACTTTTTTCCTTCCTTGAAATTTGTTGTCAAACTTTAGCTTAAAACGACACAACGTCGTCACAAGACAACCTTTTCTTCTCTGAGACTATTTTCACTCGGCAAACTACAGTGGAGAGAGATTTTTACCTTGAACTTTGCATACAGAAATAATGAAAGTACACGTGTCAAAATATTCTTCGCCTTTAATTTTTTTTATCAAACTTCTCACCTTTAGTTTTCATCTTATCATCACTGAATCTGAAAGAACACGTGCTGCTGACGTGCACCAGATTTTCATTAAGAATGATGAGATACAATCTTTAGACTTTTTGACGACTAATAAAGTCACCAACAGACAGACTCATCCCCCAAGTAGTGAAGTAGTAGGCTAAAAGACTACCAAGGCAGGGAAAAACAAAGCAAACCTCCTAACCGGCACATCCCCTCCTACCCAAGACCCTAAAAGCGAAAAAAACATCGTTCTCACGAATGGCGATTGTAGAACTGAACTGTAAAGATAGGAATAAGACTATGTATATAGATAAGGTAAAATTGCAAAAATACCCGTTGGCCGTTGCAATTAGAACTAATTAGTTTTACATACCGACTAAAACCTACAACTCTTTTTAGGTTTACATATTCCCCCCTTCGTGTTGAACTAATTACTACGTTCTCTAGGCATTTCCAACTATTGATACAAATATCAACATGACATAAGTTTTGAAAAAAAAATAACATGACATAAGTAGGGCTAAATAAAAAACTCATGGTTCGATAGTTCGCTCGACTCATCAATATTTTAGCTTGTGTACTTAATAACAAGCTGTCTCACGAGCCAAAGTTGTTTGCCTTAAGCTTATATTAATTTTGTATGACTTTATGCCTTGCACTCTACAAATTGGTCGATAGCTACAACTAAACCCTGTAAACTTGGGATTAACATGACTCTATAACTTTGTGTTTATACATGGTATGGGGTATGGACCATGAATGCATGGTGTAGTATTATAGTATATTGTTATACTTGTATATATATATATCACTTCTTACTATTTGTTTGATGTAAGACTGTCTCCAATAGGTGACCTATAAGAACAACCAAACTCAAAATGGGTCTCCGACAGTACTGTATCAACCTCCAACAGAATACCTATACAGGCGACCCATTTTGGATGTCGGGAGACATAACCTAAATCTGAGTATCGTATCTCCTGGAGACCCATTTGCAGAAAGGGTTTTCTTTTTGGTCTTATTATTGGAGAAGATAAAAAATAGATATTGAATCATTTGCCTGTAGCACTACCAAACATAGAATAGATCTTGTATTTGGTTTATCCTTGTTGGAGACAGACTAAGGCTTATGGATGGGTTCTTTTGTACCATTATTATTCCTATCTCAAGTTTTAGATAAATACATACATTATGTTTTTTTATGCCAGCTAAACGAGCCGGCTCAAGCTCGTAACAAGTCGCCACATAAGTGAACTAAGGCCACATTTCGTGGAGATTTGGCTCCGGCTTTCTAAGTGAACTGTAGCAAAGAATCGATTTTATCTTTCTTCTTAAATGTAGCAAGAAGGCGGAGTTATTTTGGAGTCATGCCAAATAAGAAATAAATATGTAATTTGTTAGATGCGGAAGGATATACTACCTCCGTCGAGGGATGGTGAATGCAAGGATGGCAACGGGGCGGTTTCGGGTCGGATATCCGCGGGTTTCGGATCTTACGGGTTCGGGTTCGGGGCCCCGAAACCAATCGGGTTCGGTTTCGGGTTTGGTTTTCCACCCATGGATATCCAATGGATATCCAAAATAAATCATTTGGAATTAAAAATCATGTGTTTATAATATGCTAATAATAACTTATTTACTTATATTATTAAATTTATTCTAAGTTGACACATGAAAATATTTATTATTTGTTGCCTCTTGTTTATACATGTGAATATGTGTATATATATCATGCATATGTTTATAAAAAGTCCTTATTTCTCTTACTATGTTGCCATACAAAGCGGGTTTCGGATATCCATTCGGGTTTTGGGTATCCGCGGGTTCGGTTTTGGGGACGGATTATCACCTGAATCGGTGTTCGGTGCGGTTTCGGGTTTTGGTTTCGGGTTCGGGTGCACAGAGACTCCACCCGATCCGAATCCGCCTTGTTGCCATCCTTGGGTGAATGTATTTGATTAGAGAAAAAGGTCATAAAATAGAGTTTTGATCTTTAATTTATTTTATAATATGCAGCCAATTGTTATAAAAAATATCGTCTTATAAACATTTTTAAAACAAATTTGAAAAATTTCAATTTTATGCACTAAAATTGTATATAATTTGACTATATAAGCTTAGATCAGATGCACTCTCATCCACATATCCTTAGTCAGATGGTAGTGCTTAGGGGCAGGTGTCCGTCCGTATGGACGCAGCTTTTTCAAGCCTGCGCGCTATCGGCCCAAGCATACTTCCTCTCTGCGTCTCTCCATCTCTCTCAAAGGAGATGTTGCGATAAAAGCGCATGTTGCAAGCGTATGTTTCAAGTGTTTCAAATATTTTCAAAGGTATGTTGTAATTATTTCATATAGATGTTGCAAAAGTAGATTGGGAATGTTGCACATGTTGCGTATATTGCAAGTGTTTCAGAGATTTGTTCAAAATGTTTCATTTGTTTCAGACGTATGTTGCAAGTTCTGATCTGGATGTTGTATATGTTTTCACACATATTTTGCAATAATATGTTCTAAATGTTTCAACTGTTTTAGTCTTATGTTGCAGTAAGTGTTTTTATGTTGCAAGTTGTAAGTGTTTTATCTAAATATTGCATATGTTTCACACAGATGTTACAAGTGTATGTTCCAGATGTTTCATCTGTTTCATACAATATGTTGCATTCAGGTGTTTTATGTTGCACGTGTTTCATGTTGTTCGGAGAGTTAGGGTTGCGGGGAGTGATGTTGGCATGGCACGTACGTCGAAAATGGGGCGTGACGAGCTAGGGGCCGACTGACGGGGTGCGTGGCGCGCTAGTGTCCTGCAGACGGGGCGCGATGAGGGCGGGGAGAACGGCCTCGAATCGAGACAGACAGGACGGGCTGGATGTGCGAGGTGAGCCATCTGGACATGCGAGCGCTACGACGGGGTGGGGTGCTCGTGCAGGGCACGAAAAAATAGCGGACATAACAGGATGCGCGGGAGTCCAGACACGCATCCGGACGTGTAGGCGCTAGCATTGCTATCTTTCTAAGTGATACATTCATCCCATACCCCGCATACTATCGGGTAAAAACCCATTGGGTATCCAGATTTGGGGTACCCATTGCCATCTCTAGCGATGATCTAGCCAACCGCTCCACGGACGGCACCTTGAAACACATAGCCTGTTCGGTTGGCTCGTTCGTATCGTTGCTGGTTCGTGAAGAAGTACTGTTGACTGGTTTGTGTGAGAGAAAAATACTGTTTCGGTTAAAAATTTACGATCGTTTACGACAAGCCACAGCCAAACGAACAGGCTGACGATCAACCCTGTAGGCTGTCCACTGCTGTTGAACCACAGTCCACAATACACACACATCAAGCACGTTAAATTCGAATCGACAGCCTTAATGTCTCAGTAAACGCGACGACGAAAATTGAGCAACATCTTCCCCACCCATCCCAGCTGTCAATTCTCCTATCCGACAGCTTCCACGACGGATCCAAACCGTCGATGCCACCCATCCAGCTCCTGGATCCGACGGCTCAGAATGCCAGCCGCACGGGTTGCCCAACGCCCCGCACACTCACAGTACCAGCGGCGCAGCGGATCCGAGCACGGCCACACCACCCCGCTGGCTGCTCACGATAAAGAGGCGGCCTCCTGGCCCTCCCCTCCTCGCGCTGCTTGCTTGCTTGTCCGTTGTCGCAGCGCAGAGCTCGGAGAGACAGACTGAGAGCAAGGCAGCACGCAGTGAGAAGAGAGAGGGATGCCAATGGAGAGGTCGGTGTCGTGCGCGGAGAGGGGAAGCATGTACGGGGGCGGGGCGGGGGTGGACCTGCGGAGCTACAGCGCCTCGTACGCGCGGCCGCAGCCGCCGCGGTCGTCGTCGACCAGGGTGCAGCGCGCCAGGAGCGTGAGCTCGTGGGCGCGCCCGGCGCCGCCGCCCGTGCAGCGGACCGGGAGCACCAAGAGCGGCGTCGCCGGCACAGGTCGCCCCACCCCGGGTATCAACCTGCGCTCCTACAGCGCCTCCTACGCGGCCTCCTACGGGCCCACCCTGCAGGTCGACGGCGGCGCCGGCGCCGGCGGCGGGCAGCTCAAGCGCTCCGGCAGCGTCACCAACTGGACCTCCGCCAACCGCCGCTCCGTCAACCTCAGAGGGTACACCCCGTCCTTCGCCGCGCTGGACGACACCGCCGCCGCCGCCGCCGTCCCGGCGCCCAAGAAGGTGGACGACGCCGAGCTGCAGCGGAGGAAGCGGCTCGTCGTCTACAAGACGTACGACGTGGAGGGCAAGGTCCGGGAGTCGGTGCGCCGCAGCGTCAACTGGATCAAGGGCAAGTGCTCCGGCATGGTGTACCGGTGGTGATCGCATCTCGCTCGCTAGCTCCACCGTCGGCCGGCCCACCACCGGCCGCCCGATCTCGCCGCGCGCCATGCCTACCGCCACCGGTCCATCAGAGTGGTACTACTACTACGTATGAGTTGAGCGTTTCTTGGTGTATGCTGTCATCAGTCGTCACCCATAGACTCTCCTCCTCTTGTTTCTTCTCGCTCGCTCCCTTGATCTTTTTGTTCTTGGATGGAGTTAGGATTCTTCGTTTTGTTTTTAGGAGATCGATTTGGTGGCATGTAGCATGAGCAGTTGAGCTTCTCTTGGTGATTTGTGGGGGGACGGAGGGTAGGGATGGGTGGGTCCGTGGGTGGTGGTGACATGGTTGTTGGATTGGGATGACAAATGCCAAGAGAATGCTTCAGCTGTGGTGTCCTACTCCTTTGTACAGATATCATCTTTCCAGTCTAGTGCTTACTACTAGTATCTGGTCTATGTAAATTTAGGTGTTGTATGCATATATATATAGAATAAGATTTTTGTAAATTACAACTCCTACATACTCCTACAGGTGGTAAGTCACTTCATTCTCTTCTTCTGTTACTTGCACTCCTCATCAAACGAAGCATGTTTTGCTTGTGTTTTTCAACAGGTGGTAGTAAGTGTCTCGTCCTCCGATCCTCTACTCTCATTGAAGCACCTCCCTTGCCTGTTGAGGGCTTCTTCAGCGAGGCTTACGCCGGCTTCGGCTTCACTACTGTAACTGTAATGTAGCGCAGAAGCCGGTGAAGCCATCAAATCCTGGCTTCACCACACCATCTTTTCTAGTGTATTTTGGGCTGGCGAGAGAGAAATAGCTTCTACTACGATTGTAAACAGTGACACTACAATGTTCATATCAGAGGAAGCTGAAGCCAGAAAAACCATTGCCAAAAAGGGTCTGAAGGTGATTAGTTTCAGTCAGAAAGTAGGTATGTGTGTTTGAGTCTATGTATGACTCCTTTCTCTACTATTACTACAATGATACACAGTTCTCTTGCGTATTCGAGAAAAAAAAGGAAGGCAGGCACATACCGCCAAAGGGATGGTGGTCACAACAATAGGCTTCAGAATTTCAGCCAGTTTTCGCCAAAAATCAGGGATTTTTGTTCCTACCAATGACCTCCGCTAAATATATATACCGATAATTTTCGTTCCACTTCGTTTAGGTATTTCAATTTTTTGCTAAAATTTCATGAAGAATTGAAAATTTTGATCGAAATTTCAGCCAATTTTTACTGATTTTTGTTTCTCTATCGGTCCCCTCCGGTACTTATGTCTCAACTGGTAGGCTGAACCCACACACCCACATGGCTGATTTTCTCTGGCAACGCCTTTGTACTCCCCTCTTCAATTACAACCACGAAACATGAAGTGGCAGTTGGTGGTGTGGGGCTTTCCTCGAGTCCTACTGTTTTTTTTTTCAGATAATTGAATCCCGGAGGAACAGAACACTACATTTTTGTGTGGATTTTATATATTATATAGTCAACCCTCCAGCAGAGCATCAAAGCTTGGTACATATCAGCACAAGTTCTTTAGCATCGTATCTAAGCCCACACCGAATCCTCCATCTTTACAGAGGAAAAGATTATTGTTCGGCACTAATTGTGTGATTCCACACTAAACTTTAGAGGGGTTTCAATGTGCACACAAGTACTCCCATCTGTTTCAATTTTCCTGCGTGGTTGAAACTAATACACGAAAAGCTACGTAGTACAATTATTCACTGATGATGGGTTGGTTTCTCGCTACTCATCAGTCATCAGCAGTGGTCCCTTTGCTGGGCTTTTGCATTGCTTGTACAATCAGCGAGCTTAGCTTGTGTGACTTGTGTGCTACTGATAGCGCCATCTCTTGATGATGAGGAGTCCAGTCTGCACACACACAGGTAGTGGAAAAGGAATTCTGAGTCATTTTGTCTCATCCACCCCACCTCTTTCATTCAGTCTCTCATCCTAACAGTTATCGCCACACTTGTATGATTTATGCCATACGGACAGTGACATGTTCTCTATTATTCACCTTATACCACCAATTAAAAAAAAGAGTAATGTAAAAGAGATAAGGAATGCAGATAATGTTTACGCAGGTAACATTGTGTTTGGTAGCCTGTACATGGTCTTATCCAGGCTCTATGGATGATCCAAGTGTGTTTTATTGTACTAGGCCATATGCAGGATTGGGCCGTGCAAAAGGGAGTTCAAGCCTGCATTTGCCTATATGCTAGAATGGCTCGTGCAATCTTATGCAGGCCGCCGGCCCATGCTTGGGATCCACTCTGCAAGATATACAGTATACCCCTATCCGCGCTAGGGTTTTACCACCCATGACTCCGATCGCTTTGGTTGTATAGAAAGGATTCGATGTTTGAAAAAAGAAATATGCTTATTTTTCTTTTACAGGTGGTACATTCAGTTATCCATTCGCCTCGCACATGTGTTATCCTCCGAAAGGTTACTTCACGAGGCTTTGCTTGTAGTGGCATCTCAACAATTGGCGTAAGCGGTCATGGTTTTTTTTTCTTTCAGACACATGGGTGGTGATCTAGTCTTAAAATCGATAGTCATTAGAGTGACAGGCTTCTCTTTGTTTTGTCTAGGCTGTGTGCTTTTATACAGAGGTCGAAAATGGGTTCATGATTATTGTATCAAATCGACATAATGATTGTGAATTAATAAAGTTCTTCCTTTATAAAAGAATGATTCCCCTTTTACATTTACATCTTTCCCTCACACGGCCATCCCTGCACTACTACAAAATAAGCAATCACTGCCGGTTAATAAGGAAAAAGTCTATCACTGCAGGAATTTTATACCAACTGATCCTGTCGGTTGCTAGTACAATCCGGCACTGATGTTTATCACTGTCTGGCTGTAGTGCCAGCCGGCACTGATCACAGTCGGACCTGAAATTTTTATGTATCCAGGTTAACTCCAAACTCACATCCATCAGTCCACACCTCTATCCGTTCTCTCTCTCTCTCTCTGCAGACTTCTTCTCCTCCCGTGATTTCCTCTGCGCCGCTCGCTCCTCCCCCGCCTAGACCTCCGTCGCGCCGCTCGCTCCTCCCTCGCTGGACCTCCCTCGCCGCTGGCCCCTCCCCCTCCCCGCGCCATCTACCTCCGCTCCGAGGGCTTCGCCAGCTTCGTCGCCGTCGACCCGCGCCTGTTCTGCCAGTAGGGGCGCGACACCTCGCCGTCGACCCATGCCTGTTCGCCGAGAGGGGCGCGACTACCTTGCCGTCGACCCGCGCCTGTTCCGCCGGGAGGGGCGCGACTACCTCGTCGGCGACGGGCGACGGATCGAGGCCGCCGCCGAGGAGCGCTTCCACTACGCCTGGGACCCTCACCCGGATCCGGAGTGCTGGTGCCCAATGGAGGTGGATCCAGATCTAGCGGCGGCGAGGAGGAAGAAGGTGCGCCCGGTGACGGATCCATGACCAGGTGTATTCCTTCCCAATCCCATGAACATCTGCATCGTTCTTCTCTGTGATGTACGAATCCTTCTCTTTGATGTCTGTGATGTACTGAATTTTTGATGTATGAATCCTTCCCAATCCTTCTAATTTGTAATGTGCTGAACCCTTCTCCTTTGTGATGTACGAATCGATTTGTGGTTGAGTTGATTTGTGATGTGTTGAACCCCTCCTCCTTTTGTCTGTGATGGAGCGGCGGCGGTAGCCAGTGAGCATGGCGGCGGTGGCGGCGGCGGCAGTAACGAGCATGCTCCAACAAGCATGCTTGATTGCTGTATTCTTTTTTTTTTGTTTTTTTTAAAGTCTATCACTGACGGGTGAAGTATCGGTAGTGCTAATCCAGGGGCATCACTGCCGCTTTCTCAGTGCCGGTTGCAAATCCGGCAGTAATAGGCCTTTAGGAACCTCCGGTGTTTTCCTTTTCTGTAGTAGTGCTGTCACTCGCACTCTTAGACTGGATCTCTTCGGACCTCTCCTTCCTGTCCGGCCAAGTGTCCAACTCTAGCACGTGTGTTCTTTGGAGGATTGGATGGCTCCTCTCCGACTCGTGCACGATGATGTTCACAATGAAAGACGGAAATGAGATTCTGGGAGGATAAGGTCCAGTCTATAGTCTAAAGTTTAGTTGGGTAATATTAACGACTAAAATGTTAGAACGCTCTAGTTTACTTGTGTGGTCTAAAGTTTTTGTGAGGTTAGCTAAACTTTAGACCTTATATTTGGAGCCTCAGGAGGTAAAGTGATCTAAAGTTTAGCCACTAAACTTTAGACTATGGGATCCAAACAGTGCCAAGTGATTGGGAAACTTACCCGTTGAGAGAGCGGTATCCTTGTTTAAAGGTCCCACTCAAGATAAAGATTTTCCTTTGGTATCTTGTGTTATCCTAACAGAAGATAACTTGGCTAAACGCAATTGCCACGACAGTGAAAACTGTTGCATTTTCCATAAAATGAGACAATTAAGCGTGTTTTCTTTGTGTGTGTCCTTTTGTTCGTGTAGTTTGGGGCTGTATACATGTTGCTTTCTTCCTCAACCTCCTAGTATCTATTATATGTTTAGGAGTTGGCTCAGGGTTTTGGGAGGGATTTAAATCATATAGTTAGGGGCCACATGTAGCTGTTGGTCAATTTGGCTGTGTAGAAATGGCTTGTTTTTTTTTCTAATAAAACAATATTTTCCTCCTATGCAGGTGGTACATTCGGATATTCATTGGCTTCGTAAATGGCTTATCCTTCAAAAGTACACTTCACACGGTTAGTTGCAGCAGCATTACAATAATTGGCGCAAATGGTTACGTTGTTTTTTTCCGGACACATGGGTGACAATACATCTAGTCTCAAAATTGATAGTCATTAGGCTACCAGATGCTCCTTTTTGTTTTTAGGTTATGTGTGCTTTTGCAGAGGCCAGACGGTTCATAATTACTGCATCTTTTGAATTAATAAAAATTATTTCTTTATTAAAAAAACGAACAACTGTACGGATCATCATGCTTGTAACTTGACAAACTTGGATGACTTTTGTTCTATTGATAATAATGCCATCGGACGACACCCCCCGGGGGGATCGGAAAGGAATTTTTAATTTAGAATAACTTCCTTTCATTCAATATGCTTCTTCTTCTTCTCTTTTATCTTTTGCTTTCTCTGCCTCTCATCCAATACTATATATACGATTGTCCATCAAGTGTGAGTCTCTGGTTAAGGCCATTGCAGCCGGTTAAGGGCATCGTCTCTGGTTAAGGCCATCGTCTCTGGTTAAGGGCATTGTCTGGTTAAGCCCATTGTCTCAGGTTAAGGCTATCGTCTCTGGTTAAGGGCATCGTCTCTGGTTAAGGGCATTGTCTCCGGTTAAGGGCATTGTCTCTGGTTAAGGCCATTGTCTATGGTTAAGGGCATCGTCTCTGGTTAAGGCCACTGCATCCGGTTAAGGGCATCGTCTCTGGTTAAGGCCACTGCAGCCGATTAAGGGCATCCTTAACCAGAGACGATGCCCTTAACCGGATGTAGTGGCCTTAACCAGAGACGATGCCCTTAACCATAGACAACGACCTTAACCAGAGACGATGCCCTTAACCGGAGATGATGCCCTTAACCAGAGACGATGCCCTTAACCAGCTACAATGGCCTTAACCAGAGATGATGCCCTTAACCGGATGCAGTGGCCTTAACCAGAGACGATGCCCTTAACCATAGACCATGGCCTTAACCAGAGACGATGCCCTTAACCGGAGACGATGCCCTTAACCAGAGACAATGGCCTTAACCTGAGACAATGGGCTTAACCAGAGGCGATGCCCTTAACCTGAGACAATGGGCTTAACCGGAGATGATGCCCTTAATCGGCTGCAGTGGCCCTTAACCAGAGACAATGGCATTAACCTGAGACAATGGGCTTAACCAGAGACGATGCCCTTAACCATAGACGATGCCCTTAACCTGAGACAATGGGCTTAACCAGAGACGATGCCCTTAATCATAGACAATGGCTTTAACCAGAGACAATGGGCTTAACCAGAGACGTTCCATGGCTGCACGGTGGCGCCCCAGGTTCGTTAGCAACCGTGGCGCCCTGCGGCGTCAAGGCCGCCGCGCACGCAAAGGAGGCGGCGGCGACCAACCAGCCGTCCCCGCGCTCTGTGCTCGCCGTCGCGGGTCGTGGGCCATTTTCGGTAAGAATACTTAATTTTGACCGAAATAAGAATACTTAATTATGTGCATTTGTTTATTTTTATACAATTTATTTTAGGTTTTTATTTTATTTGGTTATGGTAGTGTCCGCCTCGCCCACCACCAATCGGTTGAAAGTGACAAAGATTCCCAGAATCCCAGTGGAAGTACACCTTTTAATTGGTGGGTCAAGCATGCAAACATTTCTTAATTAAGTTGTAGGTCAACCATATGAGGTTTGTAGGTCAACATGAACATTGTTCCAAATGGTTCTCCTAAGTATAGTTAAGTTGATTAAGTCATTTGACACTTGGTTCCATTGGCCACACCAAAAAATTGGTCCCGACCTCCCGGCCTCCGTGGCTGGTCGGCGGCCAGCGTAGGCCAGCATAGGCTGGCCGTGGCCAAATTCGGCTGGCCATGGCCAGCGTAGGATGGCCGGCGGCCCGCCTCGGCCATCCGCTAATCACGCATGAAAATGCCCAAGTCGGCCTAAGTGAAGGGCACGATGAAAACAAGCAAAAAAAGCGTGCGAAAACGGCAAAAAAATGAGCCCAAACGGGCCATGGACGGGCCGGAACGGGCCTCAAACGGGCGCGGGTCCTAGGCCCACTGGGGTGGCCCACGGGGCCCAAGGCACCCACCCATAGTGGCCCCACATGAAAAGTCCAAGGTTCAGTCCCATACACGAAGAACAACGGCTGTCGGGCGCCTCTGGTGTGAAAACCTATGTTTCTGAGCAAAACCCAGCCAAAAATGCTTATCAGATGCCTTTAACCGGAGACGATGCCCTTAACCGGCTGCAATGGCCTTAACTAGAGATGATGCCCTTAACCGGCTGCAGTGGCCTTAACCAGAGACAGTGACCTTAACCTGAGACAATGGGCTTAACTAGAGACGATGCCCTTAACCATAGACAATTACTTTAACCAAAGACAATGAAGCAACGAGAGGCGTTCCATGGGGCTGCGGTGGCGCCCGGGTTAGTTAACAACCGCGGCGCCTGCGGCGTCAAAGGCCGCCGCCAGCGCTTGCCTTGAAAGGCGGCGGCGACCAACCAGCCGTCCCCGCGCTCTGTGCTCGCCGTCGTGGGTCGCGGGCCATTTTCGGTAAGAATACTTAATTTTTGATCGAAATAAGAATACTTAATTATGTGCATTTGTTTATTTTTATACAATTTATTTTAGGTTTTTAGTTTATTTGGTTATTATAGTATAAAGTGAGACTATAAAGCAGTGAGGTTAAGTGTTCACCCTTTGAGCCGGGTTAAGATTGTTTTGACCGTTTGTTTTTTAAGCACGGGCCCGGTTAAAATTCAAAGTTGGGTCGGGCCCGGTTAAAATTCAAGGTTGGGTCGGGTTAAGCCCTAGACGACGGCAGGCGCACGTGGATTGCACAGCTAAACGGCGGGGCGCACGGGGATTGCTTCGGAAGAGGAGGCGGCAGCGGAGGCGGAGACTACGCGCACGTACACTGCGGGGATGGCTTCGGCAGGGGAGGAGGGCATGGAGACTAAGTCGGCTTCGGCAGGGGAGGAGGGCATGGGCACTGCGTCGGCTCCGCCAGGGGAGGAGGAAACTGCAGGTATGTATCATCTAGTGAGCTCCTTACATTCATATCTGTGTCCATCCACACACATTTGTCATGATACTCCGATTGGTGCAATGATACAGCACGCATCTTTTTTTGCTCCTTTGTTGAACCAATTGGTGCAAACTCCAAGTTCTAACTAAAGTCCGGTCTGATACTCCGATTCGATCTCAAGTTGATATTTTGAATGTTGTTGGGATTAACCCAAGGTTAGACCTCTGTCTGAATTTGGTCTCTGGAAGAAGTTTAGGGTTTAGAGTTTACAAGGTAATTTGCCCCCAGCAATCTGCCTGCCTGCCCTTTACATTCATATCTGAGCTTGTAAATGTTCAGGAGCTCGTTTTACATTCATATCTGAGCTTGCAATTGGTGCCAATTTTTTTCATCCAGTACAGTTGAATACTTATATAAGTCAAGGCTAGAGCACTCATAAGTCACTTTGTTGCTAATGTACTTTTGTATTGTTTTAGCATCAAGATTTGATATGTTCTAAGTACTGTAAGAACAACATATATTTGAAACTTTATAGCTTTTGTTATATTATTTTCTTATAGAATATTACGATTTTACAGGAACTAATAAGTTCACTGTCAAATGGTTCGCCGACAAAATGCCTCCTCTATCGGTATTCATCTCTGCAACCTTATCACGACATTTTTTTCTATCTGCTAATCAGCATTCTCTGTCATAAAATGAAAAGGGTT